TGCTAGCTCTAGCTAGATTGATATGGCGTCACCAACTGCCTAACACTCGTTTTCCAAAATTTTACTGTTTACTTAGATGCTGCCTTGAAGCGTGCTATCATACCATAACATATCTAGAACTATCAATGAAACTCACTAAGAAGCTACTTCATTAAAATTATTTATGTCTTATAAAAAGGGCCCGATTTGGATAATTGAGTCTCTATGTTCATCCAACGCGCATTCAAGAGCGATCTAGGATCGGATTGAATACATGTAGAGGATAGCTGAGGCTAATATTCTATCCTTATCGGTTATTCTCTTTTGAGTCAAAACTTATGATCGCTCATCGTGGTGGTGATCTTAGTTCAATCTATGGCTGAATCACCTGTATTTAGTGAAATTAAGGTTTAGGATTGCTCCTAGGGGTAGGCCTTCTCAGACATTATACGTAGGGATTCGTTAATATGATCGATTTATGAGCTACCTTATCCAGAGCAAACCTTGTAGCTCGAGAGTTTGAGGGTGTTCTAAGGCCATTGTCCTAAGCCGATGTTGTATCTGGGCTCGGCAGTGATCTGATTGAGAAAAACATATCTGACCTGGTTTAAAGTATCAATATCTTAATAAAATTGTTTGTAATATTATTATATTGGTGATTTTGCAAGGCAACTTGGCCGAGCGGTTATGGCGCCAGTTTCAGGCTACAATGAGAAATACTGGTTCGAAAGAGCGTGGGTTCGAGTCCCACAGTTGTCAGCGGTAGCGTTTTATTTCTCATGCCCTTTTTACGCCGGGCCCTCTAGTCTACCTTTATGACAGATAGCCCAGAGCTGAATGCAATAAGCGCTATACCCTAGCGATTCACTTCAGGTTGGAGATTTAATTTCATCAGTCCACTCCTAGCAGACAAAGGTCAATTCTTAGCGGAAGCGATGTAACCGCTCAAGATGCTCCGCATATCTGGGATAGCGAAGAATCAGCGTCGGACCTATCTTTCCCACGCGAGTCCTTCAACATACTCATACAGCGAAACAAGCAGCTTCATCCACGGAACGAGTAATCGTGCTAATATTAAATGGAAATTTGCCTCATCCAGAAATGGCAATCTCTCACCACAAAGTTTTGACGCTTTAGATACCAGAAAAGGGGACAATAAGTCATAATCTATAAACCTCGAGTTTTGGTCTGGGGGAGACAGCTTTTCTACTGGGACATCACATGTTTGGAGAGGATAAATAGCTGGAAAGAGGTGTGAGCGAGTTAATATGTCACAGATTGGCATGCTGGAACTTATATTTTTCGAGGGGTTTTGGACTTTGGGGTGATTGTGGGCCCTAAGTCTACGGTTTCGGATAGTGCTACCGATACTCTAAGTGTAGAATGTACCATGCTTGCTTCAATGGATAGAGGTCTGAAAAAATAAATTCGGTCATTACAGCAACGGTTATCTCAAGCCAAGGCATTGGAGAAGAGAGTGTGTATGTGTTTTTATTGTACTACTTGAGTCTATGACTATCTAGGACATTGGGCTCCTCTCTGACCCAGGCCACAACTTGTACAGTGCTCCTATCCTCTTTTGTTACTTGAAGGATCACTGATATATTCCCCTTGATGAATAGCCATTCAGCTCAGTGTTTACCCGTGGAATTCGGCCAGCTTTTCCACGGAAACTTCTACCCAAAATAAATAAAAATGGTAGCAATGGAAACTGCGTGCGCGGGAAAAAGTCTCAAAAAACCTGCAGCCCTAGCCAGGCGAGGCCTAGACACTGGGTCCACATGAGGTGCGCATATTCATCTATATCTCCCTTCTTTGTAACATTCGTGGCCGTCTTGATCTAATCCACCATCTCCGTATCGGGTGCTGGGTACACTCCGGAAACTCATTGGATGGCTATTCCTCCATAATCAAGGGTTTGTGATGAGAAGGGCTCCTACTCTACCATCTGATCTGATCGTTGTTAGCTTCATGGTGATAGTGATAGGAGGTTGTGCTGGCAGATGAAGACGATATAGTCCGCGAAAGCGATTGGAAATCCTCATCGAAGTGAGGACTTTATTACTCAATCTCAGCTCTGCAGACTCAACAGTGAGAGCTGGAGATTCGTAGGGGACCCCACTGACAGGCGTTCAGCCTGCGTCCTCTGAGTTGGAGTAGGTGGTGTATGTGTCATCATTTATCTTCTACTATTTCTGTAGCGTGTCCTGCGGTTGGAATGAGTTGAGCCTGTAAGCAGTGATCCCCGCCGGCTCTGCCAGTCTTTTATCCAAAGTGGACCTAGAGCTTAAGCCTAGGACTTTAACATAAAAAAAAACCCACCTTGTACACACGCCAAATAGCAGCTCATATATCCATTAAATAGTCTGAAGTGCTACCATATTACCAATTACAAGCTCTTAACTACACACAAGATCATATCGAGAGCCTTGACGAAATGGAGGTCCAGTTCTTTCACAACACTCTGTGTCTCCATTTCCCACATGGTGGGTGCTCGTGGAAGAAGATCATTTGTATGTGTAAGCAAGCGTCCCTCATAGTGGCATTTGAGGATGAAATTCAGAGTAATAGTGGCTATAACGTCAATAGTTTTTATTGTTTTTGTTTTGTTTTGTTCATTTACGTGCTAGGTATATTTGGATTTGATTTCATTTAGCTCGATTTAGCGCCTTAAGGCCCATGCAGGTGTCTACGAACTCTAATAATTATTTAGGAGGAAACCTTTATGGTAAAAACCCCTCAACTTTTCAACTTATATACACTTTAAGTTTGAGTTACCTTCACGAAGTGCACTAATACTGTTATATCCAGTGCGGATACCGTCCACTTCATTGCTACTAGCCGGAGATCATCTTTCCCCTGCTCTACCCTCTCTCCCTCATCGTGGCCTCGACTTCAAGCGTCAGTCGAAACTGTTCTAGCATTCCTTCTTGCTGGATCCATCTAGTTATCCTTGCAATATCTGTGGGATTATTCATCATTGCCTCAAATGACCGGTTCTCTGCCTTTCTCAGTATTTCTCCTCTACCTTTGGCCCAGCTGGTGCAGGCCATGATCATATGCTTCACATTCTGGGACGGATATCCACATTAGCATCGTGGGTTATCTACTCCTGGAACTTTTCTTCTATACAGATAGGAATCGAACCCAATGTGTTCGCTTCTTATCTGCATGGCTTTGCTGCTCTGGGCCCTGCTCAGGTGTTTACGTGCTAGGTATAGTGACTACCGTTGCACTCCTGCTGGAGCTTATACACGGGTGGGGCCGGGCCGGATCAAGATAACCACCGTAAGTACAAGTGCCTCGTCCCACCTGAATGACCGGACCACCTCAGACTTCATCCATGTGTTGAATCATGTCAAGCCCAACCGTCCAGAGAACCCCCTCTTTTGGCGCGCCGAAGCGCAAATTACTCCTCAGGCTCAGCCACCGCGCGCCCGAGCCCTTGACATCCTCGCCATCTATAACATTTCCCTTCGATTCATTCCCAGCTTTGGCTCATCTCAGCATCTCCTTATCTCATCCAGTCGCCCACCAAGGCCTCCTCAGTTTGTATTCCCTTTTGGTTCCTTCATGCAGCATCCTTCTTTCCTTCATCTGATCTCGTCATCCCAGAATCTTAGTAGAATGTCTACCCCTCCGGCCTTACCCCGTCGCTGCCGTACCCCTAACCGTGGAGGTCGAAAACGCGACTGATAGCTCAAGACCAAGGCACCGGTGCCCCAGCCTTTGTCGAATGCTCTAGTTGGTGTGCCGGCGAAATGTCGTACGTATTTCGTCGGTGGCGATTCGTCGCAGGTCGAGTTGTTGGTGCCCTTGGCCGAGGTGAGGACGCATCTAAGGCCAGTATTTCGACCGTACCTTCACAGCGACTGGCAGTTGCGTAGGGTCGGACATTCTCTTGCTTCTTAGTTGGCGATTTGGCTTTTGGAGATATATGATTGCTTTGGTAGGTGGTGAGATAATTGTGGAGAGGGCTGCGAGATGAGTTTGGCTGGGAATGATTTTCCAGAGCAAAAGAAAATAAAATCTTGAAGGTGTCGGTTGTTGTAATACGAACATCAGACGGGTTATAGCCTGTCTGGGGTTCGTATCTGGGGTGTATATGGTTGATTTCGTTGAGTTGTGCAGTCGTGAAATCTCTGCAGGTCGGATTTTCGGCCAAAAATGAGCCAACACCACTCCTTCCTATCGCAAACTCGACGAAAATTCTCAAATTCACCCTTTGTCGTGACTGAATCTTGGCTCTGGGAGAATTTTTCACTCCCAGGTTCGTAGTGGACACCACTGATAGGTGTTCAGCCTTCGTCCTCCTATAACGTCAATAGAATCATCGAAAATGTATATATAGCACCAATCATGTGTCATAGCTAAGTAGTTGAACACACGTTAAATGATTTTCAAAGAATCAGGAAAATAAAACAATGAAAAAAACTTAGCCACTCGCCATAGATTAATAATGTCAATCAAAGCTACAGTGAATCTTGAGGTCTGATTATCATCCCTGCAAATTAGGTGTCACAGACTAAATGACAATACTCAACTTGTGTAAATTGCTGCTTGTCGTTGTGGGCTAAGTATCGGATAATTTAACACAGGAGACAAAAGTCCGTCTGATTGGGAGCAATCCAACGGGAGCAACGACGATTTTTCGTTCGGGGCTGATGAGCTTATCGAGAAAGACTGGTTGACTTAGATAATGTAAACCATAGAATTATGGATTACCGGTCGGTAAGCGCTAGATGATCGACTGTACGAAGAACTTGTCCTGATGGAATGATAAATGGCAATATCGGAGGTCGTGTAAATGTCAGTGGTTCTTTTACCAAACATTAAAAACTAGCTACAAACAAATCTAATTATTTCATGAATAACCATTGCCTTCCTGCTCATCAACTTGCCTATTATAATCTTATTTTTCAAGACCCATGTGTGACACCCCACAACATGTCATACTTGTCATCTTGTCAAATCTACTCTTATCCACAGGGTAGACAGCATAATACAGAGAAGTCAATCAGATGTACGTAAATTCATCTCATATGAAGGTAAATTACCAAGTTCGCAAACGGTCAAAGGCACCATGTTCAACCATTACTGTCCCCTGAAATAAGATCTACATTGTGATTTGCGCCGATCAGGCAACATCAATTCGAAACAACTTCAAACTCGTCAGCGCGCCTTTCACGCTTCAATTTAACCAACCACAACTTGCTGACAAGTTACCGAGCCGTTCATTGACTCACATACACCATCAAATCAGTCTTTTGCCACAACTACGTATCTGCTCGCCACACTCCCTTCGGATTTTTGACGTCGCTCCCGATATTTTTTCTTTGTCTTGCTCGCAGAGCTGGAGCCATCGCTCTGCCGGTGTCTCTAGTCTATTTAAGTGGAAGATCAGACTGGCCACCATAGAGGATCACAGTCTCACCCCATCTGGAAGCGCTGAAGGAAGTGCCACGCGAGGGGGCGCTGGGAAATGGCATACGGTACACTTGTGGAATCCCCATAACTCGACGCCTCGAGGCCAATTAAACATTGGGCCGAGGCATCAAAAATCAGATGTGTCTTTGGAAAACCAGGAGCAGCCGACACTCTACTCACACAGCGATCATAGCAACCAGTCGCTCTTGCCAAATACGAAGGAGCCAGAATTTAATACGGAGGCGAATTTCAAGCCTCATCGCGAAGACAAAATCAAAAGTGAAGCAGACACGGCGGCACTGCCACAGAAACGAAAACTTATCGAGCCTGTATGTCCGAACACTATGCCGGACCTTGAACTCGGTCTACGTGTAAAACATGCCGAGTCTGATCGATCTCGTATTACGCAGCAAAATAGTACACCTCCGCGCACTGGGATCGGACCAGCTCTCTCACCAGTAAACTCGGATAGCTCTTCTATTCTAGGCTCAGATATAGGCGACCATCCACCCGAAGAATGGGGTCCACAACATCCATGCTATCCCCATCTTAATCCACATGTCCCGCTATCCTCTCCTCTCTTTCAGTCAACTCGAATCATCCGTATACAGCGTGACTGGATGATTGAAGGTGATCTTGCTCCTACATTTTCTAATCTCTACCCCGAAATCCTCGATCCCGTAGGCGTGAGTGAGCAAGAGTTCCGTCGACTCGTCGAATGCGTCAACAAGGAACTTGTACCGGCTTTCTCACCCTGGAACTGGCGTAATATATTTGACGGGGTTTTATGTCTAATTACTGGTTGGCTGTGGGATGACGCAGGTCTTAGTGAAATAAAGGCAAGGCTCTGCCGTGTAGAAAAATTACTCGAAAAGTGGAACAAAGATCTAGAAATAAAAGTACAGGGCGAAATAGAAGAGGGCGCTGTTCCAAGAGCTGTACCGTTAAGAAGGACGGGATATATGAGTGTAGGTATTCAACTATCCTTGATGTTAAAATACCGGCTAATTACTTGTATAGATCGATATCCAAGTTCCAAACCCCGAAATACCTGCGTCTCGCGATTAGCTCCATTCATTAAAATGTTCTTGACAGTACAAACTGACGAGCAATAATTCACAAGAATGGTTTACACATAGATTTTAAAGTCGTGTACATCTAGTATTAAAAATACGGGGTACACTGGTGCTCGACCCAAGACCATTTCTGACAATGAACTTCGAGGCTAAGATAGACCAGCATTCTCTATGAGAATGTATCTCAACTGCTTATCAAATTTTTAAATTCAATTTTAACTAGAGCAGATATCGAATGATCACCTGAATCTCTATGGAATGAAGCATCGACATAAATCTCAATGATAAGACTACCTTGGATTGGTCAAAGATTTGTTTACAACTCAATCCGTTTTTTGCATTTTATCGTGACGCATTTTTTAGGGGAGCGTTTTAGGTTTAGCCAGCGTCTTTTTATTTCTAGTTATCGCATACTCTAAAAAATTCAATCTACACAAACAGTCCATACTACCTTATCCTTTCCTAGCATGACTCGGGCTGAAAGTGATTCTGAGAAACAAACGGAAATCTGCGTCTGTGATCACTACTTAGACTTGTGTCTCTAGTAATTAATGTTTGACCGGATTAATTCGGGCCAGTGTTGGTTATGTCAAAGAGAAGAACCTACAGGAACAAACTTTTGATCATGTCATGGAAAGGGGCTTTTTCAATTTGTCTCGGTATCTGAATAAGGGAAGATTTCCCAGTGACGAATCACACCTAGTTATCCGTGATGAACACAAGGATCAGATTCAGACGGCATTTGAAAGGCATGAATCTTTATATCATGCTGTATGTCACGATCTAAGTTACCCAACATTGGCACATGAGTCGACGGGCGGTTCGGCAAGGTCGGCTCGTATGAGCTCAGAGGCTCATCTATGGATTATGATTTGAGAAGAATCTAGTCCAAAGTGCGTATGGAAAAATCATTAACGAGCGAGCGGGGGTTAGGCTGATGTGCTCGAGACCTCACAAGCACATGATTGCAATAGAGATGGCAACAGTATGGATTGTTGAATGTTAGCTATTAGTCATGTAATAAAAGCCCCTCCTAAGCCCGATGATCAGTGCCGATGCATTTCATGTTTGATGTTAGGTTCTATCTAATTTAGGCTCAGGGTCCCGATCGTTCTATGCGGGTCTGGCCTTGGAACAACACTCGATTGGTGCTCGCTACTCCCGGTCAATGACTACGGGATTTACGAAAACCTACTAGTCATGACAGGTCGGGCTGAGCTTCCCTTCATGGCCAGATCTTCACGGTGTTTGCGAGTCTCTTCGGCATGCTTTAGAGCCTCACTTTCGTAATATTTTGACATGGTATGCTTCTCCTCTAAAATTCGGTTTTGCTCTTGCTGAATTATTCCCAACTCTTCAAGCATGCGGTTTCGTTCGGCAGCCATAACTTCATTCTCTCTATACCGCTCTTCGGCCTGTCTTTCAAACTCGAGCATCTTTGCGGTTAGAATCCCGCGTGCTGCCATGAATAGTAGTGATAGTGTTCAGGTTCTTTTCTTACTGGGGTCAAGAAGTGATTGAGTCGCCCTTTGGTTAAAATTCTCTCGATTTGTAGAAGCCTATTCTGCTTTAAGATGTTGGGGCGTGAAAGACTTAAATTTGTTAATTTCCAAGCTCAAATTGGCGTAGGTACCAGCCAATCTAAGAAAATGAGTGAACTCAGGTGTGAATTCGGATGGCTAAAAGAATGTGATTTCTATCGATCTGTCTGCGTTGATTTATGGTGTTTAAAGAGAGAAAAATAGGAAGGGCTTGAGCGAGTGACTGTAATGAGATCTAGTCTCACGTAAAACGACCGGAAAGAATTCAAAAAGAATAGGAGTATGATGGAATGAAGACTTAAAAGAATTGTGCGGTAGACATCGATTGGGAAGAGCCAGGGCTTGATGAAACAATCGTTAAAAACATGGACATCAGTCAATTGTAGCCATCAAGCAGTATGCATGCAACCTAGGTTTCTTACCTATGGAACTGTCTCAAAATTCGCCAATTGGCCTTTAATTTTTTCGTAGAAATATGACGTAGCGGTGGGCCTCTTGAGGTTATCAGAAAGCGATAACTGACTTTCTCAAATTTCGCCGAGACCTGTGACGTCTTGTGATTCATGACCTTATGGGCATCAGGTCTGGCTGTAACCCAAACATCCATACGACACCCTTTGACTTTCAAAAAATGCACAATGGAACTATTGAAGGGGTTACTTTATGTCATTCTCTTACCATTTTTAGGTGTGTCCGAGTCTAGGCTATTGAATAAAGCTAGACTTTGCTTAGGTAAAATCCGTGATTAGAGTCTTTCATCGACCCATTGACCTTGTGGATAAGAAAGCTTGTCTCAAAACTTACATTATTTTGCTTTTCCGTATAGGGGGAGACTGATATTCTGACTTTGATATCTACAGATTACTAGAAAATAGTGCGGCTCACACTATTAGTAAAGCCAACGATTGAAGGTGCCGTGGTCCGCCTCTTGGTGGTGTTCTCTAGCATGGTTCGAGTAGCCTGGGCACCCATTCCACTTGTGAAGGAGACATCGCAGACCACATTTCGCACGAAAAAAAGCAAATGGATGAAGGCACATCTGGATAATTCAGGGTTTTTGAGATTTTTCCCTGGGCGGGTATTCACGGATGAGGGATGACTTGGGGTGAAGATAAAGCCACCATAACTTCGGAGTGGCACTTCTGAGTTAAATCTGAGTCATGAGTGCTCTTCCTTTACATTGAGTCATCTATTATGTACTTTCTTTCTGATATTGTGTCATAGCTAGATAGCTCTATGTGCAAATGGAATCTGTTACTAGACAAAACAATTGCTACAATAGGAGCTCGTCAAGAAGGCAATGGAGCTGTATAATCAATTCAGCTATAAGAGCGACACTGTGAATACCTCCGTGGTTGGAAAGTGATGAGGTATATCTTTTTTTTGCATCAGATTTCAACTTCGTATGGAGCTATCTGGCTATGACACAATATCAAAGAAAAGTATATAATAGATGACTCAATGTAAAGGAAGAGCACTCATGACTCAGATTTAACTCAGAAGTGCCACTCCGAAGTTATGGTGGCTTTATCTTCACCCCAAGTCATCCCTCATCCGTGAATACCCGCCCAGGGAAAAATCTCAAAAACCCTGAATTATCCAGATGTGCCTTCATCCATTTGCTTTTTTTCGTGCGAAATGTGGTCTGCGATGTCTCCTTCACAAGTGGAATGGGTGCCCAGGCTACTCGAACCATGCTAGAGAACACCACCAGGAGGCGGACCACGGCACCTTCAATCGTTGGCTTTAGTTAAAATATGAGCTGCACTTTCGCAGGCGAAGACTTGGCGCAAACATAGCTCAATTCATAAAACTCTTGCCAAAATGCCAAAATTCACGCCTGTCGATGTTATATCCTTCCTTTGCATCATACGAACTTGTCCTGATCCCTCCCACGTCCAACTCACAGAAGTATCTCCCAGATTTGTGCGCCACGCTTTGCTTCCTCTGTCAGGTGTAAATATCGGCGTGGGCATGTATTTGGCTACCAGCTTAGGCCAGAGAAAGTCGATAAGAGATGTGGTCATTGGAATGAGGATGTAGTTTGTCGTACTTGTAGACTTTATGAGACTTAGGGAGGAATCAGACTCATTAGGAGTGAAAATCTGAAGTGGTAGAGTAATTTGAATCGTTGCCTCGTGGACCAACTTCTTAAGTATTGCGAAATTTGACTGAACTTGGCTCTGTAAGAATATTTCACTCCCAGCTTCGTAGAGGATATCGCGTACAGGTGTAAAATCTTGCCCTCCGATGTGGTATATCATCTGGTTTGGTTTGTTCATCAACGTGCTAGGTATAGTGATTCCCGTTGCACTCCTACTGGAGCTTATGCACTGGTGGGGCCGGGCTGGATCAGTTTAACTACCATTAAGTACATCTACCTCGTCCCACCTGAATGACCGGACCACCTCAGACTTCACCCATGTGTTGAATCATGTCAAGCCCAACCGTCCAGAGAAACCACTATTAGCGCGCCGAAGCGCAGATTCCTCAGCCTCGGCCACCACGCGCCCGAGCCCTTGACACCTTCGATTCATTCCCAGCTTAGGATCATCTCAGCATCTCCTCATCTCATCCATGGGGTATATCATCTAGGTCTATCTCCACAGTCAATTCTAGCCAGCTTGAACAAAAGTCTCACTTGAGACGGGAGATTGCCGGTTCGGATCCGGCTAATCACAACACTTCTCGCTGTTCTGGCACGTGTAGGTGGCAAAAGTTTGCTTGGAAGCCCAAAGCTTTTAAAAAATCCCTTTGGTTGGTACTCATGGACGAGAGTGGATTGATTGTGTAGAGTATTGTAAGGCCATAGATCGTGACGGTCGAATACTGAAGCAGTTGAATAGAGTTTTTCGACAAAGCTTGGTAGGTTGATACGAAGTAAGTCAGGATATAAACATCAGAGACCTTCAGTAGGTGCACCAAACTGAAAATTCCTACAGGATAAAGACATTAAAACTGGTGAACCAGTAATGGGGATCCCACCATCAAATTAAAGAAACCCCTAATTAGAATGGAAAAGATAAGTTGTATTTAAATAGTCTGTCCTACATAGTTATAAACTCAAATAGGACATAAATGGATTATTATTATTAAGGCATTAAAAGTAGGAACCAGCCCAAGCGGGGCGAATTCGGAAATTAGCCGGGATATGCGCTCATGGCCCAATACGGCGACATTATCGTGGTGTGTGTGGGGTTCTATTCTCACCACCTGTCGTTGTTATCCCCTAAAAACCTACAGCTCTCATTGTGCCGGCAGAGACGAATTCTTCACCTTCCAGTGGTGCCGGTGTAATCGCTCAGTATGCTCTGCATATCTGGGATAGCCGAGAAGAATCGCATCCGAATCGAAGTCGAAAGCAAACACATGCATATCTCCATTTGACGGCTTCTCAATCATGCAGCACTCATCATTATCTTCTGAGCCCTCAACCTCGATCTAACCACATATTATCTCCCCTCAACGACCGATAAAGGCGTCACCCCAATTGCAAACAGGAGCTTTCCTCAATCATTACCGGCCATCACTCACTACAAATTTACGACGTTATGTATACCCGCAAGGAGGAAATTAAGTCAAAATATACAAAGTTGGGGTCTTGGTTTATAGGCGACTCTTATTCTAATGGGACAAACAACTTGAAGGAGAACAGGCGGCTGAGATATGGATCGAGAGGGGGGAACAGATCTCTGAAGACCATGCTGGGACCAATATTTTCGAGTGGTTTTCAACTTTAGAACGATTGTTAGTGCTAAGACTAAAACATTGTCTGATTATCCAGGAGTTCTATTGTTGGTGAGTCGATGGCATTCCCTAGAGCCCTGCACAGCACAAAAAGAGTTGGGCTAAGCTACCATATAGCAATCATGCTCTGTTAAGGCTTTTCAGACATTTCAGCTCGACCTTCGGGAAAGAGTTGGAGGGAGGTGTAAGGATCTCTTGGGACTTGGTTACTTAACTTGATCAGGTAGGCGCTAAATCTTGAATTCTTAATGATAAGGAAAATATAATAACAACAAAGACTTGGTTCTTGATTCTTGATTCTTGGGTATCCAGGGAATAGTACAAGACTGAAAGCTGAAGAGCTTTCGACACAAAGATACCTCAGCTACTTATACTTCGACACTATCTGCTACAGACTACAGTAATCTAGTTCCAGCCCAATTCCTGTTGAACTCCTGAGATTAACCTAGAATCTGATCGAAGCCCATTGAACTGGTAAGAGTACAAAATACCATCCCAAAACATCTAGAAACTAATTGCTAGAATAGCTTAGAATGCCATTGAAGTAACTAGAACCTGTCTAGAGGGATACCAGCCGAAGCTAGGATCAGACTCTACCTTAACACCATGAATCTATCCATGACATAGCAGTAGCCATATAGTCTTAGAGACAGAGGTTGGCAGGATACCATCTCCACATCAGTCAGTCTGTGATGCGAGGCTAGAAAAACAGAGTGTGAATTTCCCGAGGTACCCACAAGTCTGGAGCGCTGTAAGGATTCCTCTTCCGATCCTTTCTTTAGGATATAATTTTACCTTTCTTCATATGTTGCTATGACAACAGGACAGTTCTTAGCACATGGTATCATGTTGATATTATGTTAAGGTCTATGTTATGATGAGCTAGTGAAAGGAGGGCAGGTATATATACAATGGTTTGGTCTGTAGGCATAGAGTTCTTTACGCTTAGTCTTCTGTCACAACCACCACCTTCGGATCACCTCTGGTCACCTATAGTCACCTCTAGTTACCTCTAGTACCTTTAGTTATCATTAGTACCCTCTCGAACCTTTAGAACTTTTAAATACTTATATTAACCATCTTTCAAACCTTAATTTCCTCCAAATTACCTCTAGTGTACCTTCAGTCATCTTTCGCCGTCCATTTAACCTCTTCTAGCCCTTCGAATTCGCTCCAGC